AATAAATAATACATATAGTAAGCTATAAGGTTCAATTAATAATAATTTTCAACTGTTAGTATCAGTTTTTATTTTTTTTCTTTACTGTCCAAAATCTGATTGATCGAAAATAAAGAAAAATAATAAGAAACAATAAGAGTGACTCAATTTTTATTCTCAAATCAGTCTCAAGTCTGGACTTTGTTATATTTTATTACTAGTTTTTATTACTCCATTAGCTGTTTGCTCAAATAAAATTTTTGCTTGGATAGGAAGAGAGAAAAGTATGTAACAGCAAAACGCTGCTTACTTCTCGTAACCTCTTCCTTCTACGACCTTTTAAGAATAAAAAAAAAATTTAGGTAAATCAATTATCATTATCAGAAAATTAGTTCTATCCAATTAGATGTGTATTCTATTGATGACTAATACAATTCGAGTCTGTAGTTGTTAATATCGAAACAAAGTTGGACAGATCGTTAGATTCAAATTATTTTCTTGAACTTAAAGTATCTTCCTCAATTCTATTTTCTAAATAACAAAAAAAAAACACTCCACGAAAAGACAATTTGGAAAATTAAAATATCAAGGATACCATCAGTGTTTCTTTCCTCCGTCGATAGTAAAAATAGAACTAAAATTCATTACACCACACCACGGCTCTATCGGCATTAACATTACTCATGACCATCGATTCTTCCACCCCCGGTCATAAATAAAGTATTTTCAGATGTACATACATTTACACGTCGCAAAGCCAAAACTGTAAATCATATATTCACCTTGGCTTGGCACAATAGACACACACATACACACACACACACACATGTAGTTACATAGACAGCAAGAGGTCTCGCCACGATTGGTTTACGAGGCGATTTTATTGGCCTGGGAGTGACCTTGTTTATTTGAACTCGCGAGGAATCAAAACGACGACGGAAGCGCCCCCATCCCGGAGTGTACATACATCACCCTAAAATTTTTATTCCCCCTTCGAAAGGCTCGTGTATGTGCGTTCCGAAAATCAAACAGCCTCCCGGCACGCAATTAACGAGTGCATGTTTACACGCCCCGAGCTAAGGTGTAATTAAGAGAGACAGCGATCGACCGTAACAATGCGCGAGCCTGTAATGAATTCAAAGTTGTTTGCTTTCAAGAATCGGGCTGTTGGAGCTCGGAGCAATTCTAAAATTCTGGCTCGTGCTCAAAGAGGCGTTGTATACGCTATCAATGCTCCCAACAAGTCGAGGTTAGCCGTGTGGCTTCTAGCGCCAAAGAGCCCACCCAAAAGTAAATGAAGTGGCCAAAGTTGGAACTAAAATCTTTTCCGTGTTAAGTGTTTGAAAAAAAGCGCGACAATTTAGCACCATTTGTCACGCGGCAAAATGAGATAACTGCAATATTGCAATAAGCAAACTCAGT